TGAATTCAGACACTTTTGACAGTGTCAAGGTTCCCCTTGACCTCTGTCACCATTGCCCGATAAAGAGATTTGCACAGTCATTTGTGGAGGAGTAACTGACATTTGAACTGCAGAGTTTCTGCTGACAGCAGCAGCTCAGCTAACCCATAGGTCCACAAATAGCCCATGCACATATAATAATGAGCAGTCACATGAATTGAAGTCTGCACTGTATATTATAGAAAAACAGCATTTTATGCTTCCTCTATGTTTGCCTTTTTCTTTTCTTTTTTTCTTTTTGTCGCGTGGACTACTTCAGTCCACAGAGGCAGTGCTGCCGTGTCCACAACAGCGTTCACATTTTGTGAACTTTATCGTTGCACAGACACCAGCAGCAAAAGATGTTATATTTCAACTCTGAGAACAATTTTTTATCTTCCCGTGGAAATCATATTATACTTAAATGCTACAGACATCCAATCGATAAGCCAGAACAGCTTTGTGTACTCCACAAAGAAGCGTACCTTCAGTGTTTCACAGGCTCTGAGAGAAGCAGGGAGACAAGGGCAGCTGCAGGGAATTTACTTAGAAAATCTGCAGGCTGGCTTTGGAAGATTCGTGAAGGGTCTTTTTGAGTTAATGGATTTCGGGCAGCGTGGTGGTTGAAAATTATATAAAGCACTTACTGTTTTCAGTTTCCTCTCATCGTTAAACTGAAAATATATCCAATACGCTTGATACACTACCTGTGTCCTCTGTTCAGTGCCCGGCTATGCTAAAAGTGTGATTACCACTATAATATGCAACAATAAATGTTTTTACTCAGCTTTAAAATGAAAATCACTGCTTCCAAAGCTTCCAAGTGAAACTGCATCAGACGCATGTACTAAATACACAGATGGTGGGAAAACGTCAGAGTGAGAACTGAGAAATTATTATGTTATATTAAATTTAATTTCACTAAACCCAAAGCTTTACAATTAGAACAGAAAACAAACAAAAAACCTTTTATTAAATACCAAAAACCTAACAGAGCTGTTTTGGGGCAAACAAGTCATGAACTAACTGAAACTGTCTGAACAAGACAAATGCTGTAAAACCTTCATTTCAATCTTATTTGTATAATGTCAAATCACAACAGTGGTCTCAAGCCTCTTTATATTGTCAGGTAAATACTTTCAATAATACAGAGAAAACCCAAAATGAGCCCCTATGAGCAAACACTTGGCGACAGTGGAAAAAAACCCTTTTTAACAGAACGAAACCTTCGGCACAATCAGGCTCAGGTGTCACAGTCTGGCGAGGGCAGACTGTAGGGGTTGACAAAAGGACCCAAAACGCAGACTCCAAGGAACAGGGAACAGAACTTGAAATGTTAACAAAAAGCGAGC